TGCAGTCTTCTCTACAGCCAGCCGCCAGTTAGCTTAGCTTAGCATAAAGACAGGAACAGCTAGCCTGGCTCTGACACTGACCAACGCGTTATATCTCGTTTCAATAATAAATAAATATGTAAAACGTCTACTGGAGGGTTACACGGTGAAGATCCTGTAAAACCTCAAACTAGTTTTTACATTTCTGAGATTAAATTTATAATCCTTCAGATTTCACCTGGTGCATCTATGTCCATGCTAACCATTTGCTACGCTAGCTGTTTCACCAGATGAGTGCTTTTAATGTGAAGTTGCAGCAGCAGTTTCCTGTAGGATGGTGAGAGATTATCTGACTAAACCTTTTTTACCTGTTCTAATGTCAGAAGACAGGACAGCAAATCAGACTTAGAGCATAAAGCGCACTGTGGCAGAGCGTGCTGCGGCAGAGCGCGCTGCGGTAGAGAGCGCTGCGGGAGGCTGGAAAGGAGGCTCCTGGGTTATACTGTTGTGAATTGGAGGCAGCTGATGGTGAAAGCTGGACGCCCCTGAAGGACCCGGAAACCCCTGCTGCTGGAGGCCTGGGAGCACCCGTCCATTGGAGAAGTCAGGCGTCACAGAGATGTCTGCGGCTTGAACTACAAAGACTCCTGCGTGTAACCACAGGAGAGATCGGTGGGACAGACAGTGTGATGTCAGTGGACCCTCGACATCGAAAGTAAAAAACCATATGGAGCAGACCTGCAGATAACATTCTGGTCACATTACTGTCACTGATGGTTTGCAGTTATTACCTACCTGAACAGGTGAGATCCGACCGGAAGAGGATCGATGGTGGTTGGAGTGGGGAAGAGAGAGCTGCTGCTGTCTTACCTACACAGTCCCTCAAAGAGGCAGATCACCAGAGAGAGCACAAGTCAGAACGCCCTCGACCACCACACCAGCGGTCTCTGTCTGATCTGAGAGACTCCTGTTTTTCTCTCTTAAACAGAAAGCAAGGAGGACCAACACTCCCAGTTCTCTGCTGCAGGCAAGCCACTGGGTTCAGGTCTGGGTCACCCTTGGAACCAGTTAACTGCCATCCCACTCGGCTCCCATTCTCCCCTGAATGTGTTCGAGCTCCAGTGTTCCCCGGCACAGGGCGGACTGCTCCTCCCACCAACCCTGACGGAGACTCCTGGCTCTTAAGAACAGAAACAAGAGAGTCCATCAGTAAAAGAATAGAAGGTGAGTTTCACTTTCATCAGAACAGAAATGAACCAATCAGAGCTGGCCAACGCTCCTCTTCTACGCTCGAGCATGTCGTGAGTCCAACATGCTCGTGTTTCCAGGTGGAGCAGGGTGTTTCTAACTGGGGGGAAAAAAGGGCCTGGTTCTACATCCAGGAAGAGCAGACTCATGGCCTCACACTGGGAACTCTGTTGGTCGCATACCGATTGTGTCGTGTTAGGCACCCTCTAGAGCCAGACAATTCCGCTCAGTCCTCAATGTGAGCGTCCCATCAGCCACACATGGACGAGCGGCACTGATAGAGTGCTCACCTTCTAGACCGAGCTTCCCCTACAAAGACAACTCTTAGTTCTTTATTCCTTCTGGCTAGACGAGTCTCATAATTGTCAATGCATGAAGTCCAGGCACTCTGAGGACCACCACGGTTATAGCACCTCAGGTGGCGCGATTTGTATCACCTCACAGGTCTGCTTTTGAGAGTAGTCAGATAGTGACCCTTGACTTCTCACCACGCTGTTGATCCAGAGTCTGGATCATGCATCCAGCTAGAATTAATATTTTTCCTACAGATGGCAACGAAAGAATAGACGTTAGCAGAACACTCTTTCTAATTTGAGGATCGTGCTGTTGTCTTGTATACTTCTCCTCTTTTTGAGGATTTTTACTTTTGTTACCTGATGATCTTCTAAATATATGTGTCTGTGCCACGGACCACTCTACGTCACTAGTGACTGTAGGTAGAAAGCTGGGACCTGCGTTAGTACCTCTGCTGCGTTCAGGCAGACTTTGGGATAACGACGTAGGGATAGAATGAATATTGGAGTATTAAAACTGTAGAAGTCAGTCGCTTCGTTTTCTAGAGATTGAACCAATGTGCTGTTGAGTCCTTCTAGGTAGATCAGCGAGTGTGGGTTGACTTCTATGTGCCACAGGCTTGTGGACATGCCAGAACTTTCGTTTGACTCCTGAATATGGGGAAGCTTGCAGGCACCTGGGCCTGCCTTGGTGTGTGTGCTCCTCTCCAGTCCCTCCAGACA